AAAAAAAAAAAAAAAAAAAAAAAAAAAAAAAAGAAAAGAGAGAAGGTAAATAAACTCACTGTCGGGAAGATGAATAGACTTTTCATAGAATTTTTTTATGTAAGTAAACAAATGAAGGTCAAGATTCTTCCCAATAACTCAATCAATAATAACATACTCCCTTTAAAAATACATTATTTCAATTTTATATAGTAGTTTTATGTTATATTTAAACACCTCTTGGTGGTCGAGTAGAAATTTTTAATATTTAATTTTATGTTGTAGAGTAACTTTAAAAACTTGATTGTGTCCTTTATCTAGATCTTATTTATTTAGCTCCAAAGAAGGTACCCAGAAGTATTGTTAATCGAGACTTTTTAAAAACAGAGTAAGAGACAAATGTGAGATTACGCTATGAATTTTGAAGTATCAAGAAGAAAAAAAATTATGACATTGGGATCCATAATGTATGGACATGAAAGTTTTGTTTGAAAATATCTGCAAGTACTCATGATCTTTAATGACCATATACTTTACTTACATCAACAAGAAATTCAAGGTTGCTACTAAACTAATAGTTTTAAACGCCTGGTTATGTAATTAATCTACAATACTCATATTGGTTCCTTTGAACAACAAAAAGTTCTTTTATCTACTAGGTGAAAGCAAATATGATATGAATTATTTTGATAGATTGAAACGGCATTTCATTCAAAGTATTTCCTGTATTTTGACGTAAGGCCATCAGAGAGCAGAAACAGATTACTTAGTCAGGAACTTCTCACCAGCTGAGCTAAGCTTTTACAGTGTCACTTCTAGTTCTCCGTCTGGTGCTACTAGCTACTCCCCAGGGCTTAAAATAATTTACAAAGCAAGGTGATTTCTTGCCAGGTCTTCATTTCAGAACAGGTCACTCTCTTCTGCAACTATGTGGAAGGAATTTGTTTTATTTCTGCCAGCTGAGAGTAACCTCAGATCCATCAACAATTGAGTTTTACTTCGTTAACATCAGTGGAGCAGTGAGTACCTCTAAGGATCGTCTCAGGACAGTCCTGCATCTATCTACCCATCTTTTCTCAATTATAGGGTAGGGTGATTATTTTAATTGCATAATGAAAAGAAACAGTGAAGCCAACAGTCATTTCCTTATGAATCCACAGCCAGGAGAATCTGCAAATTTCTGCCTTCTATATAAAATGAGTTGCTTCTGTAGCTGATTGTAGCTGCTTGGCTTCTCACCTCATCTCTAATGGCACTTTTTGAGCGTAAAGCATCATCCAAGGCCAACAATGATTTCCTTTTTTCTTCTTAGGAGACTGGGAATGAGGATATTTGTATTCCTACATTGGTTCTACCATTATACAGTCAAGGATAAAGCAATTCCCTCTCATTTTTAAAATCATTAAACTGAAGGTATTGGACTAAACAATCTCTAAGATTCCATTCAATGAAAAATGTTATTAAATTATCTCTCTATATGTTAAAGAAAAAATGGACTCTGCCTTCCATGGTGGTGTCTAGAACATAGTATATGTTCAATATTATTGAATTAACTTAAATGTATATGCTGATATAAACATTTTCTACATAACATCTTTCTTATGTATACACACCTTTTAAAAATAAATCATACTTTTTTATCTGCAATGACTGATTTTTATCTATGTGCAATAAGGTGTGAGGCAATGTCTAAGAATCATTTCAAAATTGCAATGCAGAGCAGAGAATTAAAAATCTGGGATTAATAAACATCCATCCATGAACATTGTTGCATTAATGCACAATTTCTTAAAATTTAATTTTAAATGATATCAGAGTTGTATGAATTGAAGGAATATAAATGGGAGACTTTTGAAGGATAAAACAACTTTCTGAAAAATCAATTATTTTGCTTCAATATGGTGCAGTAACTTAGTAAGGACTCTGAGCGCCGCTGTTCACCAGCCAGGGGAAAAATGGTTCAAAAGATCCGCCAGAACCACTGAGCTTTTACAGCACAAAGAAACGCCAGACTGAGACAAATTCTCTTCCAAGCTGCACTAAACTCAGGCCTCTATACCACTGGATTCTGGGCTCCTTTTCCGAATACAGAGGGCTCCACGCAGACATACTGGCATCCAGAAACACAACAGGAGATAGGCCAGTGTCTAAAGATCAGCAGAACAAGAATGGCGGCTCGGGAGAGGGGCGGGGACTACAGAGGATTCATCCTGCTCTCCATCCTCCTGGGGACCCAGAGGGAAGTTTCGGCAGGACATATTCTCTATTCCATTCCGGAGGAGACAGACACAGGGTCTTTTGTGGGTAATATCGCCAAGGACCTGGGGTTGGAGCCCTGGGAGTTGGCGGAGCGGGGAGTCCGCATCGTCTCCAGAGGTAGGACGCAGCTCTTTGCTCTGAATCCGCGAAGCGGCAGCTTGGTCACCGCGGGCAGGATAGACCGGGAGGAGCTCTGCGCTCAGAGCGCGCGGTGTCTGGTGAACTTTAACATCCTGATGGAAGATAAAATGAATCTTTACCCTGTAGAAGTGGAAATAATGGATGTTAATGACAACACTCCTAAATTCCTGACGGAAGAAATGAATGTGAAAATAATGGAGAATACAGCTCCTGGGGTGCGATTTCCGTTAAATGAGGCTAGGGATCCGGATGTGGGCACGAACTCTCTCCAGAGCTACCATCTCAACCCCAATCGCCACTTCTCCCTGGTTGTGCAAACTGGAGAGGATGGAACTAAATATCCGGAATTAGTGCTGGAGCGGGTGCTGGACCGGGAGGAAGTGACAACTCACCACCTCCTCCTCACAGCCTCTGACGGCGGTGATCCACCCCGATCTGGAACCGCCCGCGTTCAAGTAACAGTGGTGGACATGAATGATCATGCGCCAGTCTTCTCTTTGCCCCAATACCAAGTAACCGTCCCTGAGAACGTGCCAGTGGGCACAAGACTACTCACGGTAAATGCTATCGACCTGGATGAGGGAGTCAATGGGGAAGTGACATACTCTTTTAGGAAAATAACTCCAAAAATTCTACAGATATTCCAGCTGAACTCCCACACAGGAGAATTATCAACTTTAGGTGGCCTAGATTATGAAGAATCTGGCTACTATGAAATGGAAGTTCAAGCTCAGGATGGTCCTGGTAGCATGACAAGGGCTAAAGTACTGATCACAATTTTAGATGTGAATGACAATGCCCCGGAAATGACTGTAACATCTGTAAGCAGCTCAGTCCCCGAAAACACTCCTCCTGGAACAGTAATTGCTCTTTTCTACCTTCAAGACCGAGATTCTGGGAAAAATGGCCAGGTGACCTGCACTGTTTCAGAAAATCTGCCTTTTAAATTAGAAAGATCAATAGACAATTATTATAGATTGGTGACAGCAAAAAACCTAGACCGGGAAAAATTTTCTGTATATAACATCACACTGAAAGCCACAGATGGTGGAAGCCCTCCCTTGTCCACGGAAACTCACATCTCCGTGAATGTGGCAGACACCAACGACAACCCACCTGCCTTCCCCCACTCCTCCTACTCCGTCTTTGTGCCTGAGAACAACCCCAGAGGCACCTCCATCTTCTCTGTGACTGCATGTGACCCTGACAGCCATGAGAACGCCCGTGTCACATACTCCGTGTCTGAAGATACTCTCCAGGGGGCATCTGTATCCTCCTATGTTTCCATCAACTCCAATACTGGTGTCCTATATGCATTGCGCTCCTTCGACTATGAGCAGTTTCATGACCTGCAATTGAGAGTGACTGCAAGTGACAGCGGGGATCCGCCGCTCAGCAGCAACGTGTCTCTGAGCATATTCGTGCTGGACCAGAATGACAACACACCTGAGATTCTGTACCCTGCCCTTCCCACTGACGGTCCCACGGGTGTGGAGCTGGCACCCCGCTCTGCAGAGCCCGGATACCTGGTGACCAAGGTGGTGGCTGTGGACAGAGACTCGGGCCAGAACGCTTGGCTGTCCTACCGCATGCTCAAGGCCAGCGAGCCGGGACTCTTCGCGGTGGGGCTGCACACGGGCGAGGTGCGCACAGCGCGGGCCCTGCTGGACAGAGACGCGCTCAAGCAGAGCCTGGTGGTGGCGGTGCAGGACCACGGCCAGCCCCCTCTCTCTGCCACTGTCACACTCACGGTAGCTGTGGCTGACAGCATCCCAGATGTGCTGGCCGACCTGGGGAGTCTCGAGCGCTCCGCCGACTCTGGCGACTCCGTCCTCACGCTGTACCTGGTGATGGCCGTGGCCGCGGTGTCCTGCGTCTTTCTTGCCTTTGTCATCGTTCTACTGGCGCTCAGGCTGAGGCGCTGGCACACGTCGCGCCTGCTCCGGGCTTCAGGAGGCGGGTTGGAGGGCGTGCCCGCCTCTCACTTTGTGGGTGTGGACGGAGTGCGGGCTTTCCTGCAGACCTATTCCCACGAGGTCTCGCTCACCGCGGACTCGCGGGGGAGTCAAGTGATCTTCCCGCAGCCCAACTACGCTGACACGCTCATCAGCCAGGAGAGCTGTGAGAATAAGGATCCCTTGTTAACATCCATAGATTTTCATGAATGTAAGGATAAAGCCCAAAGTATTCAGGTGAGTTCAATCATTCATTTATCTTTATATTCTTCGAAGAACTATATTTTGTGTTAATTTCTTTATTGTTTTGCGAAATAAGTGATTTGAAGATGGGTAAAACAAAAACCCTTTCAAGTGGTAAAGCAAGATTAATCGTTTATTTCGGAGGTGATTCTTTAACATGGAACGCTTATTGACATAGGTTTTGGCATCATATTTATAGTGAAAGCATATGGACAAGATTGTGAATAAGTGGATAATCGCATTTTTATACCTTCTACTTATGTTCCCCATGGTGTTCTTAATTCATGTATTTTATAAATGAGAATGAATTGTTAAGTCTTTCTCACTGCATGAGGTTCGTAAGAAAGTACACTTCTGTTTTCTCAGGACTCTCTTTAGATCAGATCCATAAAAGGCTCTTGAAAAAATTTTCAGTCTGAAGACTTTTTCTGTGCCTTGCTTCTGCTTTCATGTAACTCTCCCTGGTGACCTTGAAAACCTCCATGGCTTTTGACCTATTTAAACCGCAATTGTCTGTTAAAGTCAGGTCCTGGTAGAAGGTTAGATGGATGCCTAAAGAATGAAATGTGTGTGTGTCAGGCTTCACTGAGATCTCTATCAATGACAGACATGGAGTCTAATACCACACTAAAGGTCATTGTCCAAAACCAATAAAATGTGACATCAAATAAAATGCCATTCAAGTGTTATAAGTAACATTTGTGAAATAGGCCATTGCATGTTTTTAACCCCAAATCCTAATGTGCCGTGTTAGTGATGCAGTCATTCAAAGTGTGTATATGGGCTCTATAAGTGGGAGATTTGGGATGCTGGCTTTATGAAACAACCATCTCATACACTCAAGTCCTAGACCACTAGTGAATTTTACTTATTGGGTCTGCTGAAAAATTCAGTTAGAAGTAATCTAGTCTGCATTTAACTAGGTCTATACTTGTTGTATAACATTTTAGTATAACTCAATACATCAGTTGATTAGTATCAGGAAGTAGTTGATGACAAGGTAATCTTGTTCACTGGGACCTTTTGAGTATTAGGTAAGAGCACATTTTTTCTAGCATAATGTTGTGTTAGGTGGTGTTTTGCATATAAAGGTCTGTGCAGTCCTGTGGGAGTATATTTCATACATTCTGCAGTGTTCAGATGCACAATCACTTGGGGGAGAGGATAATGTTACTGACACTCTATGAGGCAGAAATGTGGCTATCAGGTATTTTGAAAAAGAACCCCCTCAACCAAATTTATTAGATGATTAAAAATATTTTTAAACAAAGAGGAGAAATCATCACTAAATTCAGTGAGCTATGGCAAATAAACTTTCTAGGGACTATTTCCTTCAACTGTCATTACGGGATGTGATAAGTACAGAAGTGGGAACAAGTGCCTCAGTACCTAGACCATGATTAGTGAGTTTGTGTTGCAAAGCAAAATATATTATTCCCCTGGTAGTTTGGGAGATTTATGTTGCATTTTGTACCCAGAAAAATAATCGTGCAATGGGAAGGAGAGGGATAGGCTCTTTTCTAAAAGGCTGCATCATTTCTTTAAGTGAGATATTGGAAGTTAAAATCAAGTAATGTTACTATAAAGAAATCACTGAAACTATTTTGGAAGAAGAGAGCTAAGTATAAATTGTGCCCTTTTAGGGCTTGCTTGGTGGTGCAGTGGTTGAGAGTCCGCCTGCCGATGCAGGGGACACGGGTTCGTGCTCCGGTCTGGGAAGATCCCACATGCCGCGGAGCCGCTGGGCCCGTGAGCCATGGCCGCTGAGCCTGCGCGTCCGGAGCCTGTGCTCAAAAAAAAAATTGTGCCCTTTTAAAAGACAATTTCAGCATTACTGTTGCTCTCTGGAAAAATTGAATTAGGTACCAAAACAGTAAGGGAAAAGGCGACGAGGAAACAAAGATAAAACCTTATCCAACATATTGCTAATTAATAAGCATTCACAATTACTATGCTCTGAGATCGTTCAGGCCAAGTCTGTGTTATAGTTATCCTTCTATTACTAGTGCGGATTTGAAAGTTGGGGAATAATTATGTCAGTATATAGATGTTTATATATCAAATCTACCTGATTTACCTAAAAACCTGGAAAGTTGGGATAATGACTTTTCTAATAGTACAAATTAAACGTTATTAAATATACAGACATCTAAAAAGGGTTTTTCAGCTGGGCACAACGGTTATAATTATTTTAGCTGTTTAAACTTAAGCAGCGGGGGCTGCAGTTTCCTAGTGCGGACTCTGGGCGCCGCTGTTGGCCAAAGTGGAGAGCTCGGTGCTGGCGACCTCCTCGCGCAGACGCAGCGCACTTTCCCATCTCAGACTCGCTAGCCTTTCCACCGCTTCCTCCTCTGGAGAAGAAACCCTGCCTGACCCCCCACGCCGGAATAAAGCTGTTCGGAGCTCCGGACTACTGCGGCACAGAGATTGTTTGTAATCCGGCGTCTCCAAGCCGGTGAGCAAGCTGAGGGGAGCAAGAGGGATGGGGAGCGGAGCTGGGGAGAGGGGCTGGGCTGAGAGGCGGCCAGTGCTCTTTCCGTTCCTGCTGTCTTTGTTCTGCCTGGCGCTCTCTGAGCAGATCCGCTACAGGATTCCCGAGGAGATGCCAGAGGGCTCGGTGGTGGGGAACCTCGCCAAGGACCTGAGACTCAGTGTCCACGAGTTACCGACTCGGAAACTGCGGGTCAGTTCGGAGAAGCCTTACTTCACTGTGAGCTCAGAGAGCGGGGAGTTACTTGTTAGCAGCAGGCTAGACCGGGAGCAGATATGCGGGAAGAAGCCGGCTTGTGCTCTAGAATTTGAGGCTGTTGCTGAAAATCCATTGAACTTTTATCACGTGAGTGTGGAGATCGAGGATGTTAATGACCACACACCAAAATTCATGCAAAATTCCTTTGAGCTACAAATAAGTGAGTCCACAAAGCCTGGGGCACGATTTATTTTAGGATCTGCCCATGATGCAGATATTGGTACCAACTCACTACAGAATTACCAGCTCAGTCCTGATGATCATTTCTCACTTGTGATTAAAGAGAAATTCGATGGCAGTAAATACCCTGAGCTGGTACTGAAGACACCTTTAGACAGGGAAGAGCAGACGTCCTACCACTTGACCTTGATGGCCTTGGATTTCGGGGATCCACCCCTAAGCAGTACTGCACAGATACAAGTCCTAGTGACTGATGCCAACGATAACCCTCCAGTATTCAGCCAAGAGCTATACAGGGTGGAGCTTCCAGAAAACGTGCTCCCAGGCACCACTGTGCTTCGAGTTATGGCCACCGACCAAGATGAGGGTGTCAATGCCGAGATCACCTTCTCTTTCACTGAAGCAGGTCAGATTACCCAGTTTGACCTGAATTCTAATACTGGGGAAATTACTCTTCTAAATGCATTAGATTTTGAGGAAGTCAAAGAATATTCCATAGTTTTGGAAGCAAAGGATGGTGGAGGAATGATTGCCCAGTGTACCGTGGAGATAGAAGTCCTAGACATAAATGACAATGTCCCAGAAGTGATATTCCAGTCTCTACCAGATCTTATTATGGAGGACACCAAGCTGGGAACACACATTGCTTTGCTCAAAATCCGTGACAAGGATTCCGGGCACAATGGAGAAGTTATTTGTAAATTAGAAGGCGATGTTCCATTTAAAATACTCAATACTTCAAGAAACACGTATAAATTAGTGACAGGTGGAGTTCTAGACCGCGAGCAGACCCCTGAGTATAACATCACCATCACAGCCACTGACAGAGGCAAGCCACCCCTCTCCTCCAGCTCAAGCATCACCCTGCACATCGGTGATGTAAACGACAACATGCCAGTTTTCGAACGGGCTTCCTACGTGGTCCACGTAGCAGAGAACAACCCTCCTGGCACCTCCATCACTCAAGTCCGCGCGCTGGATCCTGACCTGGGACTCAACGGCCACGTCTCCTATTCCATCGTGGCCAGCGACCTGGAGCCGCGCGCGCTGTCGTCCTACGTGTCCGTGAGCGCACGGAGCGGCGTGGTGTTCGCGCAGCGCGCCTTCGACCACGAGCAGCTGCGCGCCTTCGAGCTGACGCTGCAGGCCCGCGACCACGGCTCGCCCGCGCTCAGCGCCAACGTGAGCCTGCGCGTGCTGGTGGGCGACCGCAATGACAACGCGCCCAGGGTGCTGTACCCGGCGCTGGGGCCCGACGGCTCGGCGCTCTTCGACACGGTGCCGCGCGCCGCGCAGCCCGGCTACCTGGTCACCAAGGTGGTGGCGGTGGACGCCGACTCTGGACACAACGCCTGGCTGTCCTACCACGTGCTGCAGGCCAGCGAGCCCGGACTCTTCAGCGTGGGGCTGCGCACGGGCGAGGTGCGCACGGCGCGGGCCCTGGGCGACAGGGACGCGGCCCGCCAGCGCCTGCTGGTTGCTGTGCGCGATGGGGGCCAGCCGCCCCTCTCGGCCACCGCCACGCTGCTCCTGGTTTTCGCGGACAGCCTGCAGGAGGCGCTGCCGGACCTCAGTGACCACTCTGAGCCCACTGACCCCCAAGCTGAGCTGCAGTTTTACCTGGTGGTGGCCTTGGCCTTGATCTCGGTGCTCTTCCTCCTGGCAGTGATTCTGGCGGTCGCCCTACACCTTCGACGCTCCTCCAGCCCAGCTGCCTGGGGCTGCTTTCAGCCTGGTGTCTGTGTCAAGTCTGGACCCGTGGTTCCCCCCAACTACAGTGAAGGAACTTTACCTTATTCCTACAATCTGTGCGTTGCCCATACTGGAAAGACAGAGTTTAACTTTCTAAAATGTAATGAGCAGTTGAGTTCAGGACAAGACATACTTTGTGGTGATTCATCTGGGGCCTTATTTCCACTTTGTAATTCCAGTGAGTCAACCTCCCATCAGGTGAGTTTCCTGTAAGTATAACCTGCTTCTTATGGTCTAGACAGTTCTCCATATTCACAAGAAAATACAGGCGTATCTCTGTTTTAGTTTGTTTTGCTTTATTGCGCTTCGCAGATACTGAGTCTTTGTTTTTTCGTTGTTGTTGTTGTTTTGCACGTTGAAGGTTTGTGGCAAGCCTGGATCAAGCAACTCTATTGACACCATTTGTCCAACAGCATTTGCTTACTTCATGTCTTTGTGTCACAATTTGTGTCACAATATTTTAAATTTTAAAATATTTCAAACTTTTTCATTATAGTTGTCATGGCGATCTATAATCAGTGATCTTTGATATTACTATTGCAAAAAGATTATGTTCGACTCACTAAAGGCTCCAATGATGGTTAGCATTTTTTAGCAATAAAGTATTTTAAATTAAGGCATGTACATTTTTTAAGGTATAATGCAATTGCACACTTTAAAACATAACTTTTATATGCACTGGGAAACCAAAAAATTTCTGTGACCTGCTTTATTGTGCTATTCCCTTTATTGTAGTGGTCTGGAACCAAACTCAAAATATTACCAATGTGTGCCTATATACAATTTTTCGATCCAAACATTGTCTTAAGAGTGTAGTAGCCAGTCTAAAAGCTGTCATACCATTCTTCAAGGGAGGTTGAATTCAGAGCAATTATGTGTCTTTTAGTGGTGTCTTACCAGGCTCTGATTTACAAAGCAGTGAAGTTGTGGTTTTATCTACAAGGGAAACATTAGGCAATGTTATAGGGTCTCCCATAAAACTACTGAGATTTTTCCCTAAATTTTTCTTCCACAGCTTAATATATTGTGATTTTTTTCAGCTTGGACATACTGTAAATGTAAATGTAGGCAGTCATATAAATAAACCTTTAAAGAAAAAATATAAGCTAAAATTAGGTATTTTTCTTAATTGATTTAACTATAATGGTTTCCATACTAATCTAATATTTTGTTTCCTATATTTACTTCTCTTTTGTTTCAAAAACTCCTAGAATAACGTCTCTTAACCTGTATTTTATGTAGATGGACCTACTGTAATTGTATTCATTGTACTCTGTGTGTGTGTGTGTGTGTGTGTGTGTGTGTGTGTAAAATCATTTTATTTATCAGTAGATTCACTATGTTCACCAGAAGATAAAAGCATGTTCTCCTTACTTACAGCATAGGTTTTTCAGGATTAATCTGTATTGATGCTCATTCTATAGGCTTCCTCTATCAAAGAAAACACAATGTTTTGGCCTCTGTTATTCCTCTCACACACACTTCTCCTATGTAATTTTTGAAATGTGTTTTTTTTTTTTTGTAGCCCTAAACTAATATAGCTAGAGGTCTTCTAGTCATTCTACTATCTCTAGGAGAAAAATGGCATGTTGAATTCTTCAAATTTTAGACAAGACTGACAGTCTTATGTGCATACAAGTACATACACAAGATGATAATACATTGTATGGGGCCTTTGCTAGATTTCCCTTAGCAACGGCTTCAGTTAATGGCCACTGTACAAACTGCTGAAGAAAAGAGACATTTATTCTTGCACTGGCACTTTTTGACTCCTTAGTGATAACTTTGTGGTTCTTTTGATCAAAGTGCTAGTTAAGGTAAAATTACCTTTAGATTATATGTATACCTTTAAAAGTTAACTAAGTCGGTTTTAAAATGTAATCATCTCTCACTGGCAGAAGAATAGGATGGAAATTTGCTTTTCATTGTATATTCATTTGTATCTTTCAAGTATTTTCTATTCAAATAGAAAATATATAAAATTTAAATAATCTCTGATAAAACTTCAAAGTAAAAGCACATATCCTAGTAAAACATCACAATATTAATTTGAAAACATTATTATTAATGTGTAATTAAAATGCCATTTTAAAATATTAAAAGGCAGCAACTCTACAGGAAGCTTAGTATAAATATTAATTGTTTTAAACCAAATAAAACAACTTCTGGGTCAGTTATCTCCAATAGTTGTATTTTAGTCTAAAATGAATTAATTTCCAGTGATAACTGTAGCCCTTATTTGATAATAGATATTGAAGATATTAACAATAAAACTTAGAGCATAATAAGAAATAAACTTTTATTTTTAAAAGAGTAAATATATTCCAGAAATTTGAGTAATTTAATATGACACTAACCCCAAAATCTGATCATTTAATAATACTTTGTAAGACTTTAACCCTACTTCATGCCACACTTCTTGGCAATTACTTTTAAAATATGAATTCAGAGATAAATTATTCCAAACTATAAACAGCAAGTAGTAACTTTTTCCTAAGTAATCTAGCATACAATATTACAAATCTGAGTGCAGTAACTGCCTAGGACTCTAAGCGCCGCTGTTCACCTACTTGGAGATAAATGTAACCAAAAACCGTCCGGATACTCTGGGCTCCCACCTCACAAAGACCCACAGATCTCACAAACCAACTGCAGGACTGCAGCAAAATTCCACCCCTAAATTTGGGAGACTCCAGCTTTCCATAATATGATCTGCAAAGCAGCAACAAGGTAAAGAAGACATATATGCCCAGTGAAGATTATGAGTGGATTCCTTAGTGAAAGAACAATGGCCACTCCAAAGAATTACCAAGGACGCGGCGATCTGGTACTGCTGTGCGCGCTCCTGGGCACGCTAGGGGAGATCGGGAGAGGACAGATCCACTACTCCGTGCCTGAAGAGAGCGACAAAGGATACTTCGTGGGGAACATCTCCAAGGACCTGGGGCTGGAGTTACAAGAGCTGGCGCAGCACGGAGTCCACATCGTCTCCAAAGGTAGGATGCAGCTCTTTGCTTTGAACCCGGGAAGCGGCAGCTTAGTCACCGCGGGCAGGATAGACAGGGAGGAGCTCTGCGCTCAGAGCGCGCGGTGTCTTGTAAATATTAACATCCTGGTTGAGGATAAAGGGAAACTTTGGGGAATAGAAATAGAAATCACTGATATCAACGATAATAATCCGAAATTCCAGGTCGACAATCTGGAAGTAAAAATTAACGAAATTGCTTTGCCCGGAACACGTTATCCACTCCCAGGGGCTGTTGACCCCGATGTGGGCTTGAATTCCCTGCAGAGCTATCAGCTCAGCCCCAATCACCACTTCTCCCTGGACGTGCAAACTGGAGACGACGGAACTATAAGCCCAGAGCTGGTGCTGCAGCGCGCCCTGGACCGCGAGGAGGAGGCTGCTCACCGTCTGGTCCTCGTCGCCTCCGATGGAGGCGAACCGCGTCGCTCCAGCACAGTGCACATCCGAGTGACCGTGTTGGATACAAACGACAATGCCCCGGTTTTTGCTCAACCGATTTACCGAGTGAAAGTCCCAGAGAACGTGCCCCCGGGCACCCGGCTGCTTACTGTAAGCGCCAGCGACCCGGATGAGGGAACCAACGGAGAAGTGGCTTACAAATTCTGGAAAATTAGTGAAAAACAATCTCGGTTATTCCAGCTTAATGAAAATACTGGCGAAATATCAACAGCAAAGAGTTTAGATTATGAAGAATGTGCATTTTATGACATGGGAATACAGGCTGAAGATGTGGGGGCACTTCTGGGACGGACCAAAGTGCTCATTTCGGTGGAAGATGTCAATGATAATAGACCCGAAGTGACCATTACATCTTTGTTTAGCCCAGTCTTGGAAAATACTCTTCCTGGGACAGTAATTGCCTTCTTGAATGTGCATGACCGAGACTCTGGGGAGAATGGTCAAGTTGTCTGTTACACACGTGATAACTTACCTTTTCAATTAGAAAAATCAATAGATAATTATTATAGATTGGTGATATGGGAATATTTGGACCGAGAAAAGATCTCTTTGTATAATATAACAGTGATGGCGTCAGATCTAGGAACCCCACCTCTATCTACTGAAATTCATATTGCCCTGCACGTGGCAGACACCAACGACAATCCACCCATTTTCCCTCATGCCTCCTACTCAGCCTATATCCCGGAGAACAACCCCAGAGGTGCCTCCATCTTCTCTGTGACGGCCCATGACCCTGACAGTGGCAACAACGCCCAGGTCACTTACTCTGTGACCAAAGACACCATCATGGCGACGCCTCTCTCGTCTTATGTCTCCATCAACTCTGACACTGGCGTCCTATATGCGCTGCGCTCCTTTGACTATGAGCAGATCCAAGACTTGCAGCTACTGGTGACAGCCAGTGACAGTGGGGACCCTCCACTCAGCAGCAACGTGTCACTGAGCCTGTTCATCCTGGACCAGAACGACAATGTGCCAGAGATCCTGTACCCCATGCTTCCCACCGATGGCTCCACGGGCGTGGAGCTGGCACCCCGCTCGGCAGAGCCCGGCTACCTGGTGACCAAGGTGGTGGCTGTGGACAGAGACTCAGGCCAGAACGCCTGGCTGTCCTACAGCCTGCTCAAGGCCAGCGAGCCGGGACTCTTCGCGGTGGGGCTGCACACGGGCGAGGTGCGCACAGCGCGGGCCCTGCTGGACAGAGATGCGCTCAAGCAGAGCCTGGTGGTGACGGTCCAGGACCATGGCCAGCCCCCTCTCTCTGCAACCGTCACGCTCACCGTGGCAGTGGCCAGCAGCATCCCAGAAGTCCTTGCTGACCTCGGTAGTATCAGGACCCCCACCAACTCTGATGATTCAGACCTCACACTATACTTGGTGGTGGCAGTGGCCGTTGTTTCCTGCATCTTCCTCGCCTTTGTCATTGTGCTGCTGGCACTCAGACTGTGGCGGTGGCACAAGTCGAGTCTTCTCCAGGCTTCGGGCGTCGGGTTGGCAGGCCTGCCAGCCTCAGGCTTTGTGGGCATGGAGGGAGTACAGGCTTTCCTGAAGACCTATTCTCATGAGGTCTCCCTTACCTCTGATTCGCGGGGGAGTCACGTGATCTTCCTGCAGCCCAATTATGCAGACTCGCTCATCAGCCAGGAGAGCTGTGAGAAAAATGATTCCTTGTTAACATCCAGAGATTTTCATGAATGTAGGGATGAAGCTGATTCTGTTCAGGTGAGTTCAGTTCATTGTTTACATTTATTTCTTAGAGGAGTTATATTTTTTATACATTTAAGTTGTGTTTTGAAACATGCATTGTGAAGAAAGTTTAAAAATAATTTTTAAGCTGTACCACAAAGTTTTGGGTTTGTGTTAGTGATACCATAAAATTGAGTTCTAATCAACATAATTGTTTTATCTGCTTTCCAAAGGCTTAGACAAGATTTTTAAAATATGAACTCTTGACCTCTTAAAGCCTTCCATATTTTACCACAATTATCACTTATTCACTTAAGAAATAGTTACCCAATCACATATGGTCAGTTCGTTTTATATATAGGAATATGTGTGTGTGTGTGTGTGTGTGTGTGTATACACACATATATATGTATACATATAAATTAGAACTTACAAAACATTATTGAGGCTTCTAAACCCTTGTATTAGCTTAGTAAAAGTAAAATACATCTCAGAATTTTTAGGATTCTTAGGATTGCAAAGAATCCTAAGAATTCTTTGCTAAAACTAAAACTAGGCTCCTGAAATTTTCTTCATTTTAAACCTCTTTTCTGAGCCCTGCATCTGGATCACTACCGTTCAAAGCTTTAATACTTCTTATATTTCAAAACAAACATATTTTAAAGGGTGGTGGTAGATGAGACTGGTCCCTAACACACACACCACTGTTTTTGTGTGTCAGTGGTCACCCAGGACTCATACCAATGGAGACATAGAATCTAAAGCCTAAAATGGCCATTGCCCCCTGCCCCCATCAAATTTGCAATAACACGTCATTTTAAATTGTTGAAAACGACCTTTGTAAAATACAGAAGAACACATTTCATTAGAATTCCAATGAGCTGTTTTGATTGTACAGCCATGGGAAATGTGCTGTGTTCTCATGGTTAGAGTTCGAGAGCGTTGGTTTTAAGAACAGAAGTTACATGTACACAAATTCTAAACAAGCCAATCAAAAATGATTCAATTAAAAATGATTAAAATTCAATTAAAAATGATTCCATCTGGACTATATGACTTCCGTATCCCTTGTTATAGCATTTAAATAAAACTATCCTCTGATTTGTCATCAGATGAGAGTGGAAATCACAATGAATTATTCGTTAGTAATTAAAAGGACATTTCCCAGGGATTGTGCTATGTTCCCTCCAATTTTGCGTATACAATGGGTAGGAGTTAACTTCATATTTTCTGTAGTGTTTGTGTGTACAGTCACTTGAGGAGACAACTATTTTGTTGACACTTTGCAAATTTAAAAAGTGTGTGGAAAGTTGCCCCAATACTCTTGCTCAAAGCATTCACTAATTGCAAACCAATTTTTTAAACAAATGGAGTAAAATAATTAGAACAGGTGTCACTACATTCAGTGAATTTATGTAAATACATTTACCATGAGCTCAATTCCTCCAATTCTGAAGCCCTTACTTTAGTATAATATAAGTACATAGATAAGAAGCTGATGCATTCTATTAGAATATCCCTTTGTGACTTGGTATTGAAGGATAGACTAACATTTCAATACATTTTAAGGATGAATTTATATGAGATATTGGGCATGACATAAGCCAGTTAATTTTGAGATATGAAGTAGGAGGTACAGTAAATAATGTCCTGGCTACATCATAGAGACAGTTTTTTTGAATGAATACTTCTTGAGATAGAAGAGTAAAAAGAAATTATTTTGTAAAGAGAGTGTTGAGATGATCAGGAGGAGATGTTTGAGGATTGGTACAAAATTACACAGTTTTACAAAATAGTTTTCAACAGTATTGATTTCTCTAATATATGTGATATGAAATAGCATTGACTATGTAGAAGTGTTGGGGATAAACATAGGAATCAGTGAAAGAAGCTTAAATTTTTTTTATATATCATAGCTAATAAACAGAAACGATTCGTGAAGTTAGCAGACAGTAAACTCTCTGCGGGCAAGAGCTGTGTCTTATTCTTTGTTATATGGCCACTGACAAGGACAGTACTTAGCACAAAGCAAAAGTTCAATGTATGTTTGTAGAATGGTGAAATAAATGGACCAATATATATAAGTTTGTATAGAGGCCCAACATGATATTTCTAATAATTTGGAAACAAGAGAAAAGATACCTTAAGGAAGTCTTGATAATTTAAGGTATTAAATATATTAACATAAAAATATGGCATATTAAATTAGGCACACGGTTATAATTATTTTAGCTGTTTAAACTTAAGCAGCGGGGGCTGCAGTTTCCTAGTGCGGACTCTGGGCGCCGCTGTTGGCCAAAGTGGAGAGCTCGGTGCTGGCGACCTCCTCGCGCAGACGCAGCGCACTTTCCCATCTCAGACTCGCTAGCCTTTCCACCGCTTCCTCCTCTGGAGAAGAAGAAACCCTGCCTGACCCCCCACGCCGGAATAAAGCTGTTCGGAGCTCCGGACTACTGCGGCACAGAGATTGTTTGTAATCCGGCGTCTCCAAGCCGGTGAGCAAGCTGAGGGGAGCAAGAGGGATGGGGAGCGGAGCTGGGGAGAGGGGCTGGGCTGAGAGGCGGCCAGTGCTCTTTCCGTTCCTGCTGTCTTTGTTCTGCCTGGCGCTCTCTGAGCAGATCCGCTACAGGATTCCCGAGGAGATGCCAGAGGGCTCGGTGGTGGGGAACCTCGCCAAGGACCTGAGACTCAGTGTCCACGAGTTACCGACTCGGAAACTGCGGGTCAGTTCGGAGAAGCCTTACTTCACTGTGAGCTCAGAGAGCGGGGAGTTACTTGTTAGCAGCAGGCTAGACCGGGAGCAGATATGCGGGAAGAAGCCGGCTTGTGCTCTAGAATTTGAGGCTGTTGCTGAAAATCCATTGAACTTTTATCACGTGAGTGTGGAGATCGAGGATGTTAATGACCACACACCAAAATTCATGCAAAATTCCTTTGAGCTACAAATAAGTGAGTCTACGCTGCCAGGCACGCGATTTATATTAGAAGTCGCGGAAGATGCAGATATTGGCTTGAACTCTCTGCAGACTTATAAACTCTCTCTTAGCCCTAGTTTCTCGTTGATAAATAAGGAGAAACAAGATGGTAGTAAATACCCGGAACTGGTATTGGAGAAACCCTTAGATCGGGAACAACAGGGTTATCATCGTTTAGTCTTGACGGCCTCAGACCGTGGAGATCCACCCCTAAATGGCACTACTGAGCTCCGGATCCAGGTCACTGATGCCAATGATAACCCCCCGGTATTTAGCCAGGACGTATATCGAGTCAGCCTTGGAGAAAACGTGCCCCCAGGCACCACTGTGTTGCAGGTGTCAGCCACCGACCAGGACGAGGGCGTCAACTCAGAAATCACTTATTCCTTCTACAGGACCGGGCAAGTCTTCGGTCTGAATTCAAAGAATGGGGAAATTACAACTCTAAACACACTGGATTTTGAAGAAATCAAGGAATATTCTATCGTGGTGGAAGGGAGGGATGGCGGAGGACTGGTTGCACAATGTACAGTTGAAATTAACATTCAAGATGAAAATGACAACAGGCCAGATGTTACGTTCCATTCCCTAGTCGAAATGATTCTGGAAAACGCAGTGCCGGGAACGCTAATTGCTTTGATCAAAATACATGACAGAGATTCCGGGGAGAATGGAGAGGTTAATTGCCGATTAGAGGGTGAAGTACCTTTTCAGATAATCTCTTCGTCCAAAAATTCATACAAGTTGGTAACAGACGGGACCCTGGACCGAGAACAGACACCGGAGTACAATGTCACCATCACAGCCACTGACAAGGGCAAGCCGCCGCTTTCCACCAGGACAAGTGTCACCTTGCATATTACTGACGTTAACGACAACGCTCCTGTTTTCCACCAGACCTCCTACGTGGTCCACGTGGCCGAGAACAACCCGCCTGGAGCCTCCATCGCCCAAGTTAGCGCTTCAGATCCAGACTTGGGGCCCAACGGCCAAGTCTCCTACTCCATCGTGGCCAGCGACCTGGAGCCGCGCGCGCTGTCGTCCTACGTGTCCGTGAGCGCGCAGAGCGGCGTGGTGTTCGCGCAGCGCGCCTTCGACCACGAGCAGCTGCGCGCCTTCGAGCTGACGCTGCAGGCCCGCGACCACGGCTCGCCCGCGCTCAGCGCCAACGTGAGCCTGCGCGTGCTGGTGGGCGACCGCAACGACAACGCGCCCAGGGTGCTGTACCCGGCGCTGGGGCCCGACGGCTCGGCGCTCTTCGACACGGTGCCGCGCGCCGCGCAGCCCGGCTACCTGGTCACCAAGGTGGTGGCGGTGGACGCCGACTCTGGACACAACGCCTGGCTGTCCTACCACGTGCTGCAGGCCAGCGAGCCCGGACTCTTCAGCGTGGGGCTGCGCACGGGCGAGGTGCGCACGGCGCGGGCCCTGGGCGACAGGGACGCGGCCCGCCAGCGCCTGCTGGTTGCTGTGCGCGATGGGGGCCAGCCGCCCCTCTCGGCCACCGCCACGCTGCTCCTGGTTTTCGCGGACAGCCTGCAGGAGGCGCTGCCGGACCTCAGTGACCACTCTGAGCCCACTGACCCCCAAGCTGAGCTGCAGTTTTACCTGGTGGTGGCCTTGGCCTTGATCTCGGTGCTCTTCCTCCTGGCAGTGATTCTGGCGGTCGCCCTACACCTTCGACGCTCCTCCAGCCCAGCTGCCTGGGGCTGCTTTCAGCCTGGTGTCTGTGTCAAGTCTGGACCCGTGGTTCCCCCCAACTACAGTGAAGGAACTTTACCTTATTCCTACAATCTGTGCGTTGCCCATACTGGAAAGACAGAGTATAACTTTCTAAAATGTAATGAGCAGTTGAGTTCAGGACAAGACATACTTTGTGGTGATTCATCTGGGGCCTTATTTCCACTTTGTAATTCCAGTGAGTCAACCTCCCATCCTGAAACTCTAACAGCGGTGAGTTCCATTTAAGTGTCTACTCCTTTTCATCATCTTCACAATTTTGTTTATTCATATGAAAATATATTTTTAATCTTGTAGTTGTGTTAGGAATATTATAGCTCATCAGAAAGCTGTATATCCAATCATCATGGGGAATGGTAATTTGGGTAAGCAAGTGACATAAAATAGAGTTATGTTACTCAGTTCGGAGTTACAAAGAAGAGAGAGTATGCTCTTTGCTTCGCCGCAAAAGTCTTTTGCCGATTTCTTATCTTTTTTCTAAGCTAATGAAATTTACCCATTGATTTTTCTCATTCTTTATTTAACATATTTTAATGTTTATTATATAAGTAAACATCACATTTAAAGTAGGCAATCAATTCATTCTTTAAAGCAAAAAGAGTACTACCAGGTATCTTCTTTCACTGATTTCATTGGTACAGTTTCCACCCCTTTCTTATATTTATTCCTCATGTCTAGTTCCTTAAGTCTACCTATTTATGAGTCTTTGAAGTCCTTAAATTTTAAGAAAAATTACTGTGTGATGTGTGTGTGTGTAGAGAACGACTCAGTGAATTCATCAGAAAGTCGAAGTCATTATCTAAGTTCCTTCAAGTTTTCTTGAATACAAAATTCTCTTCTTCTTTATAGTTAACAGAAGGAGATACTCGGTAAAAGAAAAGGAAATGTTATTGCCTCCATAACGTGCTGTCATTCCCAACCTATATTTTTTGAAGAAGAAAGGGGGGAAGTTCACTGGATTTGTTTTATTACTTGGAGCCCTAAACATTAGTGACTGAAGGTTTTCTCATCCTTCTTCTAACTGTGGGAGGGAAGGAGAATTCTGAATTTTCCATTTTAAAGGCAAAACCTACTAATTTCAAGCACATACAAAGATGCCGTTACATAAGTATCAGTCTTTTTGCTAGGAACTGCTTCAGTAAATAGTTTCTCTACAAATTGCTGAAAGAAATTTCTTATTGTGGTACTTACTTTTTACTTTTTGTGGTAATAATTCATTCTACATCTTGTGTTCTTTTCCCCAAATTATTACATAAGTTTAGATGACCCTTATAATAGAGGCTTATAATTAAATTAAAATTGCATAATTTCTTGATGGAAGAATTGAAATGGAAACTTACTTTTCAATGTATGTTCATCTGAATCTTCCAGATGCCATAGGCTGTGCATGCACTATGAATTCACACAGAAAACTAAATATTAAAAAAATTGTGATAGCACAAAAGTTTAACAATCATAACTATGTAAAATTTAAAAACCTAATCCATTTAAAGTTTAGCAATATTAGGTGATAAAATCTAGCACCATTGCCTGATTAAATTTTTGTGAAGAAAATCTTAAGGAGACCTTACTCCAGGAATTTCACTATGAGAATGAATTAGCCTTATAAAATTGCTTCAAGGTGAATAATCCATATATTCATTCAATATGATTATGTACTATACATATATAAGCATACATATAAAATTAAGAAAAATATGAATGTATTTCCAAAGAGGATTGCACATTCTAATTACTTCAGAAAATAAATAATGACCTATAGAAAGTATTTGAAACATTATAAAAAAGGAAATTTGAATAATTTACATATCTAGAGAGAGAACAAAATTCTAGCAAAAGTAAGAGTTAAGTTTGTTTGATACCAAAGTGACATTTAATAAAATTTCATTCCACTTCATTTCCAACTAAAATATCCACAAATGGTAATTGAATTTGAAATATGAATGCACTACACAATTAGAGAAATCTAAAATCATTATCGTTAGAGAGTAGTGTTTTCTTTTTCCGTCATCTATAACAGAAGTATTGCATATCTCTCAGTACTTGAGTGGGTGGGTGTAGTAACGGCTTAGGACTCTGAGCGCCGCTGTTCACCAACTCTAAGAAAAGCTCAATCAGTGCTCCGTCTGGATATTAGGATCTGCAGCTACACAAAGCCGCTCGGATCCCACAAACCGACTCCGGGGCTGCAGCATAACTCAGCCTCTTAGCCTGGGGCACTACGGGTTTCTCCTGAGGAAAAAGATCACCATAATCTGCAGGGGGAAAACAGAACCTAAGGAATCAGAGTTCACAGAAATTATTCTGAAAAAAATCGTTAGTGAAGCAACAATGGCCGCCCCAACGAATCGCCTGCACCACAGAAGACTGGTCCTGTTGTGCCTTTTCCTGGGGAGGCTGTGGGAGGTCGGGGCTAGCCAGATCCGCTACTCGGTACCTGAAGAGACAGAAGAAGGCTATATCGTGGGGAATATCTCCAAGGACCTGGGGCTGGAGCTCCGCGAGCTGGCGGAGCGGGGAGTCCGCATCGTCTCCAGAGGTAGGACGCAGCTCTTTGCTCTGAACCCGCGAAGCGGCAGCTTGGTCACCGCGGGCAGGATAGACCGGGAGGAGCTCTGCGCTCAGAGCGCGCGGTGTCTGGTGAACTTTAAAGTGCTGGTTGAAGACAGGGTGCAGCTTCACGGAATAGAAATAGAAGTAACTGATATCAACGATAATAATCCGAAATTCCAGGTCGACAATCTGGAAGTAAAAATTAACGAAATTGCTTTGCCCGGAACACGTTATCCACTCCCAGGGGCTGTTGACCCCGATGTGGGCTTGAATTCCCTGCAGAGCTATCAGCTCAGCCCCAATCACCACTTCTCCCTGGACGTGCAAACTGGAGACGACGGAACTATAAGCCCAGAGCTGGTGCTGCAGCGCGCCCTGGACCGCGAGGAGGAGGCTGCTCACCGTCTGGTCCTCGTCGCCTCCGATGGAGGCGAACCGCGTCGCTCCAGCACAGTGCACATCCGAGTGACCGTGTTGGATACAAACGACAATGCCCCGGTTTTTGCTCAACCGATTTACCGAGTGAAAGTCCCAGAGAACGTGCCCCCGGGCACCCGGCTGCTTACTGTAAGCGCCAGCGACCCGGATGAGGGAACCAACGGAGAAGTGGCTTACAAATTCTGGAAAATTAGTGAAAAACAATCTCGGTTATTCCAGCTTAATGAAAATACTGGCGAAATATCAACAGCAAAGAGTTTAGATTATGAAGAATGTGCATTTTATGACATGGAAATACAGGCTGAAGATGGTGGGGCATTGAAGGATGGGACCAAAGTGCTCATTTCAGTGGAAGATGTCAATGACAATAGACCCGAAGTGACCATTACATCTTTATTTAGTCCAGTGAGGGAAGACGCTCCCCAAGGAACAGTAATTGTTCTTTTCAATGCACATGACCAAGACTCTGGGAAGAATGGCCAAGTTGTTTGTTCCATCAAGGAGATTCTACCTTTTCAATTAGAAAAGTCAGTAGAAGATTATTATAGATTGTTGACAGTCCGAAGTCTTGACCGAGAAGAAACCTCTGAATATAACATCACAGTGACTGCAACAGACAGAGGAACACCATCCCTGTCCATGGAAATTCACATCACCCTACACGTGGCCGACGTCAACGACAATCCACCCTCCTTCTCTCAAACCTCCTATTCAGTCTATCTCCCTGAGAACAACCTTAGAGGCACCTCCATCTTCTCGGTGACAGCCCACGACCCCGACAGCAATGAGAACGCTCGGGTTGTTTACTCCTTAGCCGAAGACACCATCCAAGGGACTCCTCTCTCCTCCTATGTCTCCATCAACTCCAACACTGGTGTGCTATACGCGCTGCGCTCCTTCGACTACGAGCAGTTTCGCGATCTTCAAATGCAGGTGAGGGCAAGCGACAGTGGGGACCCACCTCTCAGCAGCAACGTGTCACTGAGCTTGTTTGTGCTGGACCAGAACGACAATATGCCAGAAATCCTCTATCCCATGCTTCCCACCGATGGCTCCACGGGTGTGGAGCTGGCACCCCGCTCTGCAGAGCCCGGATACCTGGTGACCAAGGTGGTGGCTGTGGACAGAGACTCAGGCCAGAACGCCTGGCTGTCCTACCGCCTGCTCAAGGCCAGCGATCCAGGTCTCTTCGCGGTGGGGCTGCACACGGGCGAGGTGCGCACAGTGAGGGCCCTGCTGGACAGAGACGCGCTCAAGCAGAGCCTGGTGGTGGTGGTCCAGGACCACGGCCAGCCCCCTCTCTCTGCCACCGTTTCGCTCACCGTGGCTGTGGCTGACAGCATCCCCGACGTCCTCGCTGAACTAGGGAGCCTTGAGTCTCCCGCCAGCCCTGACGACTCAGGCCTCACTCTCTACCTGGTGGTGGCGGTGGCTGCGGTCTCCTGTGTCTTCCTCGCCTTTGTCATTGTGCTGCTGGCGCTCAGGCTGAGGCGCTGGCACACGTCGCGCCTGCTCCAGCCTTCAGGAGGCGGGTTAGCAGGTGTGCCCACGTCTCACTTTGTGGGCGTGGATGGGGTGCGGGCTTTCCTGCAGACGTATTCCCACGAGGTCTCGCTCACAGCTGACTCGAGGAGGAGTCACATGATCTTCCCTCAGCCCAACTACGCGGACACGCTCATCAGCCAGGAGAGCTGTGAGAAAAGCGAGCCTTTGTGCGCTTCAGATGATTCCAGGTTTCCTATAGAAGACACCCCTTTGGTTCCAGTGAGTTCAATTTTTCCTTTACTTAAAAAAAATTGGTTCTCTATTTAAGTGTTTGCACTTTAGGATAAGTTGATATTAACATATTTCTCACCATACGTTTAAATTTTCACTGGGCCTAATTTTTGCTCTAACATATATAGGAGGCATTTATTGGTTACATCGTTGATATAATTTTTGCTTTCTCATAATGATTAACCTAAGGTCAGTGGAAACCTTCCTCTTGGGACTGCTCTCATTATCAGGCATTGGGCATGGCTCTTTGGGTGAGGTTGCTTCAGTTGCTTCAGTACCACGGTTCACTACTAATTCTTAGGACTGGTTTCCATTCCTGAAATTTGTTACTATTGTTATCTCCAATGGCCCCATTGTGAAATTCTCACTCTAAAAACATTTCTGCAGCCGATGCTATTTTTGTAAGGGTAAATTAATAAGAAATGCATTCTTCTTGTAAAAACAACTGAAAGCCCAGACTCAGTACTTCTTTTCTGTTTCTGTGACAGGACAACACCCCTTAGAGGTGACGTGTTTCCGTTCACATGTTTGTAGAGGTTGTTTGCATCTAAAGATCATTTCGGAGGATAATTCAAACTTCAAATATCATCCATTTCCAAATCCTAGAAAAGGATGCTTTATTCTTTTAATAGTGAAAAATTTTAACATCATTTATTCTCATCCTCAGAGCTGTTGATTTCCTAACATTATAATATCAGATTATTAATAATTTGAAACCTCCTATAGTTTATGCTTGCTGAAGAGGGGTTTCTTAGACTGGACCCTGTGAGAAGACAAAACATAGGAAATAAAAATTATTCTTCAACTGTTTTTTATGGCTCAGTCCTCCAACTTTTGAGGCTAGAAATAAATCTGGTTATGGGAGATGACTTAGGAAAATATTCTCAGGAACTGCTATGGAGATTCTAAGAATATTTTACTGGCTTTTAGACATAAGGAAAAGAATAATGTATTATGTAATGTGATTTTTTTTTTTTTTTGCGGTATGCGGGCCTCTCACTGTTGTGGCCTCTCCCATTGTGGAGCACAGGCTCCAGATGTGCAGGCTCAGCGGCCATGGCCCACGGGCCCAGCCACTCCGCGGCATGTGGGATCTTCCCGGACCGGGGTACAAACCCGTGTCCCCTGCATCGGCAGGCAGACTCTCAACCACTGCGCCGCCAGGGAAGCCCTGTAATGTGAGTTTAACACAATGTTATTTCAAGTAATAAATGGCATTGTAGGAGACTTTGAAACTAAGCTTTGAAATTGACTCAAAGTTCTATTCTGAACATGCTGAATATGAGGGCTAACATGTCTGGAAATCCATTATGACATACACACATTATAATTATTTCAAATACTCTTTATTCCTAAGCTAGTAGGAAAAAAGTAAAGCATCCTTCAAGGTCATATTTTTAACCATGCAGTAGGAAAACTGTCACTTAAAGTTTCTGTCTTGGGGAGTAACCTTTAGTACTTAGTATACATAAATATTAAAATATGGTTAATTTGGAAAAATGTAATAACAGATATTGACGAAGGCTTGTATGTCATGGTAGGTAACTACTAGTCTCTGCCATAAAAATGTCACTTGCCTTTAAAAACAAGGCTCTTTGGATCGATGACTGGGCAGACTGGAAAATGCTGAGTTCCAGTTTTCTTAAATGAGGCAGGACCTTTGCATCGGTAACAGATTATATAGTATAATAGGCTTAAGGATAAAATTCTTCCTCATCTTCGTATCTTGTCTTTAAAGAAGAGTTATTAAAATATCTTGGATTTGCTTCAATATAATAAGGGAATGAAATAAATAGTAAAAAAAGATGACCTTGTGTTGATCATCGTTGTAGTTGGGTGATGGGTATATGAAGGTTCAGTAATAATGCTCCCTACTTTTGTATAAGCTTGAAATTTTACACAGTAAATTTCTTGAAAAACTAAGTATGCAGACATCTGCCATATACGCTGTTAAAACTGAAATTTGGGGCAATTACATAACTATACATATATATAATTACATAACTATATATATGTATATATGTGTATATATATATATATACATACACATTCTGGAGAGAAATTGTATTCGAGACGAAAATGTTAGACTGCGGTTCCACATGAGGCCTCTGGGCGCCGCTGTCGGCCAGTGCAGGGCAAGCGCTGACGCTCGGGATTCCCCAGCCTCCAGCCTGGCATTTCCTGCGCAGCCACCAACACAGAGAGAGGGAAACCTGCTCACGCACTCAGGCTCCTGGCCGGGCAGGCTCTGCCCAGCACAAACGGATTCCCAGCTCCGCCTGTCCTGGGGCGAAAGCTCTTCCAGTGACGCCTTGGATTGCATTTTCTTTGGCTTTCCGGAAAGACTGGGACCCAGCGAGAACTGGAGCGCGCAATGGGAGGGAGCTGCACGCAGAGACGTCCGGCCGGCCGGCGGCAGGTACTGTTTCCCTTCCTGCTGCCTTTGTTCTACCCCGCGCTCTGCGAGCAGATCCGCTACTCCATTCCCGAGGAGCTGGCCAAGGGCTCTGTGGTAGGGAATCTCGCCAAGGATCTAGGGCTCAGTGTCCTGGATGTGTCGGCTCGAAAGCTGCGAGTTAGCGCGGAGAAGCTGCTTTTCAAGGTAGACGCGGAGAGTGGGGACTTACTTGTGAAGGACCGAATAGACCGTGAGCAGATATGTAAAGAGAGAAGAAGATGTGAACTGCAGTTGGAGGCCGTGGTGGAAAATCCTTTAAATATTTTTCATATCATTGTGGCTGTTGAGGATATTAATGACCATGCTCCTCAATTCGATAAAAAGGAAATACATTTAGAAATTTTTGAATCTGTATCTTCAGGTACACGAATATCCCTTGACCCTGCCACTGACCCTGATATAAACACGAACTCAGTTAAAGATTATCAGATAAGTCCTAACCCTTATTTCTCATTAATGGTTCGAGTTAATTCCGATGGTAGCAAATACCCAGAGTTATCTTTGGAGAAACCCCTAGACCGGGAAAAGCAGCGGTCCCATAGCTTGATATTGACTGCCTTGGACGGAGGGGGCCCGCCAAGAAGTGCCACCGCTCAGATAGAAATCTCTGTCAAAGACACCAATGATAACCCCCCGGTGTTCAGCAAAGACGAATATAGAATCAGCATTAGTGAAAATCTACCCCCTGGGTCCTCCGTGTTGCTGGTGACAGCCACTGACCAGGATGAGGGGCCCAATGCTGAAATACACTACCACTTCAGGAGCACTGCTCAGAGTACAAGGCACATGTTCTCACTGGATGAGAACACAGGCATGATTAAGAATAACCAGTCATTGGATTTTGAGGATATAGAAAGATACACCATGGAAGTGGAAGCAAAGGACGGAGGTGGTCTCTCTACCCAATGTAAAGTAATCATAGATATCCTAGATGAAAACGACAACAGTCCAGAAATAATCATCACTTCTCTCTCTGATGAGATTTTGGAGGGTTCTCTTCCAGGAATGGTTGTTGCCCTCTTCAAAACACGGGACCGGGATTCCGGAGGAAATGGAGAAGTCACCTGTCATATAGGAAGAGATGTTCCTTTCAAGATTTATTCTTCTAATAATTACTACAAGCTGGTGACAGATGGGGCCCTAGACCGAGAGCAGACTCTGGAATACAGCGTCACCATCACAGCCACTGACAGGGGCAAGCCGCCCCTCTCCAGCAGCACTACCATCACTCTGCACATCACGGACATCAACGACAATGCTCCGGTTTTCCACCAAGCCTTCTACGTGGTCCACGTGGCAGAAAACAACCCGCCCGGCACCTCCATCGCCCAAGTTAGCGCTTCAGATCCAGACTTGGGGCCCAACGGTCAAGTCTCCTACTCCATCGTGGCCAGCGACCTGGAGCCGCGCGCGCTGTCGTCCTACGTGTCCGTGAGCGCACGGAGCGGCGTGGTGTTCGCGCAGCGCGCCTTCGACCACGAGCAGCTGCGCGCCTTCGAGCTGACGCTGCAGGCCCGCGACCACGGCTCGCCCGCGCTCAGCGCCAACGTGAGCCTGCGCGTGCTGGTGGGCGACCGCAACGACAACGCGCCCAGGGTGCTGTACCCGGCGCTGGGGCCCGACGGCTCGGCGCTCTTCGACATGGTGCCGCGCGGCGCGCAGCCCGGCTACCTGGTCACCAAGGTGGTGGCGGTGGACGCCGACTCTGGACACAACGCCTGGCTGTCCTACCACGTGCTGCAGGCCAGCGAGCCCGGACTGTTCAGCGTGGGGCTGCGCACGGGCGAGGTGCGCACTGCGCGGGCCCTGGGCGACAGGGACGCGGCCCGCCAGCACCTGCTGGTTGCTGTGCGCGACGGGGGCCAGCCGCCCCTCTCGGCCACCGCCACGCTGCTCCTGGTTTTCGCGGACAGCCTGCAGGAGGCGCTGCCGGACCTCAGTGACCACCCTGAGCCAACTGACCCCCAGGCTGAGCTGCGGTTTTACCTGGTGGTGGCCTTGGCCTTGATCTCAGTGCTCTTCCTCCTCGCGGTGATTCTGGCCATTGCCCTACACCTTCGTTGCTCTTCCCGCCCCTCTGTCTGGCGCTGCTTTCAGCCTGGTGTCTGTGTCAAGTCTGGACCCGTGGTTCCCCCCAACTATAGTGAAGGAACTTTACCTTATTCCTACAATCTGTGCGTTGCCCATACTGGAAAGACAGAGTTTAATTTTCTAAGATGTAGTGATCCTTTGCATTCCACTCAAGACATAGTTTGTGGTGATTCTCCTGGGTCCTTAATTCCACTTCAGAGTGGGAATGATTTGACTTCACATCCTGAGACCCTAACACCGGTGAGTTTCATTTTTTTGTCTTCTGTAACATTCTACTAGTTTTTTCATATTTGGGGCATACTATTTCACTCTTACATCTAGAATCATATTTAGAAAATACGTAGCTAATCACTGTCTTGTCTTCTCAATGTTCAGTTTTGGCTGAGTACATTTTCAAGACTTTTGTGGTTCATAAATTGCTCTATAATTCAGAAAGAATGTCACTAAATTGGAGATATCTTGTCAAGCTTAGATTAGCAAAACAGAGGCTGTGGTCTTGGCTTCTTACCAAATAAATAAATAAATAAATAAATTTAAATGAATAAATAACCTACTCAAATGTGCTGAGATTTAATTTGAAATTTCCATACCCTATTTATGTCTTTTTTAAAGTTTAATAATACTAGCTACTAATTAAATATCCAAGCAGGTGCTCATTTCAAAGAAACATGTAGTGCAAATGATCTTGTATGTGCATTTGGGTATCTTCATTTATTTTAACAATTTTTAAAACTGTAAGCACTTGAGGGGGCATGGTGAGCGGATCCATGAATTCCTGAAATTGCATGTAAAGTTACCGATGTATGCATTTTTCTTGGTAGAGGAGTCAACACTTTGATTCCATTGCCAGGAATTTCTATGGGCCCCAAATCTTAATACTAACTACCCTAGAGGAATTTTTCTCTTCAAGTTTTGGTCCTTCTGGCTTTCCTTTTACTTTTCTTGGTGCTCAAATTGTACTCTTTCC